TTGTGACATGTTACTTGGGTATTGTTGTTTTCGGGAAAAGATGGGATAATGATTTGTGATTCAGAGCCTGCCATAGTGAAGAGTTTCGTGAATAAAGGAGATTTGCGAAATCAGTGAACTGAATGGTGATGACGCGGCTGCGGGATCGGCGACGACTGTAGAGGCGGCAATGAGATCTGCAGTGGCTGGGCTGCTGCAAACAGAATCTGAGAGCAGGTGGAGAATGGGCTGGACGAACAGATCTGCGAAGGATATTTCGAGACATACAGATCTGCGAAGGAACGGCGGCGCGGCGGCACGAATCTGTGAATGGAGGTCGACGCCGTGCCGCACGGATCTGTGATGACGGCAAATCGTAATGGATGGCAAATTCGTGATGATGGATGGTGGATCTGCATGGACCAACGACGAAGAGGGTTGACGGTGAAGCTGAACTGCTGTGAAGAGATCGTCGGAGGGGAAGATGACGACTAGGGTTTCTTGTGACGGCTAGGGTTTTTGATGACAGCTAGGGTTTTTGAGAATTAAAGTTTTATTTCCTAAAGCTCTAATGCCATGAAGTTTGTTTGGAAGAAATTTTCTTATTCATCTTAATACAATAGGATGTTATACTTATACAAGATTACTTTCGATAAAAAGCTAGAAATAAGGAATTAATCTAGATCTACAAAGAAAATATAAATTTCATAGTATACAAGGTAAGTAATTCCTAATTTGAAAACCAAATTTCAGCTTGAATTTCTACATAAAAACTAAGGATAGAGACACCAGAGAGACGTACACGAGAAAAGAGAGAAGAAATAAATTCTCAAATTGATTGATCAAAGATGAGGAATAGAGGCACTATATATAGGTTACAAGAGGAAACAAAATTTAGGAATAACCTCCTAACTTCCCTAAAAGGAGATTTATTTGCTAAATTTAAACATAAAATCTAAACAATTTTAAAACAACTTCTAACTAAGTCCACATAATCTTAACTTCTAACTAATTCAACACTACATTTTTTCATTTCCAAGATTAGTTTCAAAACCTAGTGGTAAGCTCACAAATACTTCTTCCAGATCTCCATTCAAAAAAACATTTTTTTACATCAAGTTGGTGAAGGGGTCCATCTAAATTTGCAACTAGAGATAAAAGTATTCTAATGGAGTTGATTTTAGCCGCAGGATCAAATGTTTCCTGATGATCAATCCCATAAGTTTGAGTAAATTCCTTTGCAACTAGTCTGACTTTATGCCTTTCAACACTACCATCGATATTACAGTTGATGGTAAACATCCATTTGCACCCCTCAGTTTTCTTATCTCTTGGCAGGTTTACTATCTCCCATGTTCAATTATGTCTTAGAGCATTCATCTCCTCCATAATAGCTAGTTTTCAATTTGGATCATTTAGAGCTCCTTGCAGGTTCCTTAAACAAACAAGTTAATTATCTTAGACGTAAAGACTTTATGGCTATTTGATTGTTTTTTATAGGAGATATAGTTTTCAAGAGGATATTTGGTGCAAGTTTGAGTCATTTTTATCAAGGCTATAGGAATATCGAGATAAAAAACAATAGAAGAGACATTTTCATTATTTGGAGAGACAAGGATGGAAGATTAGTTACCTGGAGTTTTAGAATCATCCCTCGGAGTTTCAGATTGGATTTGTGATGAGTCAGATATTTGGTCTTTATTCATTTGATCGAGTCTTCTTCTAGTATAAAACTTAAACTCAAGAATTGGATCATTTTGATCATTTTGTAGTAGTTCTCTCTTTAAGCGAGAGTTTTCTATGGTGGGCATTGAAGGACCAGTAAAGTCCAAACTAGGACCAGTGTGGTTGGGACTTATAACAATAGGAAGATGGATAGGTATATCGAAGAAATTATCATCCTCTGAATTTTGTTTATTCTTCAAAGTGTCTTCAGGAGAAAGTGTGTGGTTTTGGGAGGACGTCTGAATTGATTCCACAGCCCTTGCTACATCCTTCCATGATATGTACGACCTTACTTCCAAAAAGGGATTTTCGATAGCAAACTGTTGGGTTACAGAGGTTGGCACTTGGGATTTAGGCTTCAGAAGACACCTTTTGGACCGGGAGATTGATAGATGGGCTGCCCTCACAGAAAAATTAGAAGGGGTGATTCTAAGTCAAGGTAGAGACAGGATTGGGTAGAAAGCTGACAGTTGAGGTACGTTTCCAGCCAAATCAGCCTTCTTAGCCATCACCTCTCCTTCGAGGAAGCTAAACTCTGCTACTGCCTCTCTCATCTGGAACTTTAGGGTGCCAAAGAAGGTCAAATTCTTTCGTTGTTTTACAGAGGCATCAACACGGCTGATAAGTTGCAGGGAAGATCTCCTCATTGGAAACTTTCTCCTATAGTTTGCCATATGTGTTGGAAGGATACCGAAACTATTGACCATCTATTTTTGCACGGCCCTTTTGCCTTCCAAGCTTGGAATTCTGTGGCTGCTGCCTTAGATTTCTCTTTTCATTTTCCTAGAAAGATCGATGAACTCATCATAGAGGGCTTTGGTGGTTCCACTCTTAAAGGGAAACTTTTCGTTCTTTGGAACTGTGCGGTGAGAGCTCTCCTTTGGCTCCTATGGAAAGAAAGAAATAGTAGAATTTTCGAAGGAAAAACAGCCTCGATGGATTCTTTTTGTGTGAATATAAAAGCATACAGCTTCTTGGTGGTAACAATCCACAAGAAGGTTTTTTTGTAACTACAGGGAAATATGTGATTGTATAGCTTTTCTTTGGGGTGGGTTCTCTCTACCCTCGGCCTTTAGGTTGTACTTCCCCCTCTTGGTTTTTAGGCTGTTTTTGAATATATTCCCTTATATTTCTCATCCAAAAAAAAGAAAAAGAAAGGAAAATTCATCCTCACATAAAGTTTTTTTGTTTTAGGATCAAAACATTTATAACCTTTTTTTTCCTAAAATTATAGCCCAAAAAAATGAATTTAATAGCCCTATGACCTAATTTTCATCGTAAAGGACTAGGAATATGCACATAAGTATTACACCTGAATTACACCTGAAAGCTTTGATAGGTAAATTAGAGGTCAAACAAGTTGTTGGAAAATGTTCTTTCAAAACATCAAGAGGAGTTTTAAACTTCAAACCTTTAGTAGGCAACCGATTTATTAGGTAGACAGCGTAAGGACTACTCCTACCATAAGTACTTAGCAACCTCTAATAAATGTCTATTTTTTTGTTCAGGAATACCATTTTGTTGAGGAGTATCTCGATAATTAGAGTGATGATCAAAGTTGTTATCTTTCCAAAACTCACTCAAAATGTTCATTGAAATATTAATTTTCATTGTCAGAATGCAGAATACTAATTTTGGTTTGAAATTGGGTTTCAATCATATTATAAAAACATTTGAAAATATCCGTCACATAAGATTTTTTTGTCAATAAATAAACCTAAGAAAAGCGAGTATGATCATCAATAAAAATTACAAACCACTGTTTACTACTCTGAGTTACAACTTTAGAAGAATCCCAAACATCACTATGAATTAAGTAAAACAGTTTGGAGTTTGGGAAATATGTGGACCGAGGATGTTTTACAAAGATGAAATTTTCATAATGAAACTGATAACAATCGACCCTTTAAACAAATGTGGAAATAAGTATTTGAGATAGAAGAAACTAGGATGTCCTAGCCTAAAATGCCACAACATAATTTGTTCTTTAACAGAAGGAGAACTGTTACTACTAAAGCGCTGAGTTTTTTTATTACTACTAGAAGACTCATCAAAGTAATAGAGGCATCATAGCACATCCAAACGTCTTCCCCAAAGTTTGATCCTGAAAAACACATTGAGATGCATAGAAAGTAACAAGACAGTTGGAATTTTTAGAGAGTTTACTGACTGATAAAAGATTATAAGCTAATTTAGGGACATGAAGAATTGATTGAAGAGTTTTCAGTTAATTTAATGATCCCCTTTTCTGAAATAGAAGAGAAACTGCCATTAGAAATCCTAATTTTTTCATTGCAACATGTAGGAGAGTATGATTCAAATATTTTAGAGGAGCTAGTCATCTGATGAGAAGCTCAAATCAATAATCCATGGAGATGAGCTAAACCAAGAGAGTGTTCTATGGTAATTACCAATTTGTGCCAAGGAAATAAACATTATGAAATGATGAATTGTTCTCTAGCTATTGTGGTAAGTGATCCCCACTAACTGGATTTGAGTCAACACCATTAATACGAACATGTGGTAGATCACTCTTATATTATGCTAGACTTTGAGGTCATTTCAATGATTTTCCCAACCATGATAACAAAAAGGTGAATCAAATCACACCACAAATTGATATTGGAAAAGAAATAGCAGAGAACCAGAGGGCCGAACCAAAGCTAGAAACGAACCAAACCAGGTGAACCAAATAGAACCGATTTAATTGAACCAGACCGAGCTTCAAAATGAACTGAACACAACTTAGGATTTGTAGAACAGTACAAAACTTGAAAATTTTGGGGTCCTTGTCGTATTGAATCCAAAAATGGGTTTTGGTATGTTGTTACCTTTGTCGACGATTTTTCTCGGTAACTTGGTTATTGTTAGAGTATTTATATTAGTATAGTTTATATTATTGTAATATTCTGTACTAGTTTGTCCTTTATTGTCCTTTTACATTCTTAGGTCTTTCTTGTAAATTTGTCTCAATATACTCTTTAGTAACGATAATAGAATTATCTGATTCTCTCCAATCAATCTTTTCAGTTATATTTAATGAAAAGTCGTTTTGAGTTACTTTCTCATTTTTGTAACTTTCATGCTAAAATTCAAACTCAATTCGGTAGTTCTCTTAAAGTTCTACGGAATGATAATGCTAAAGAATACTTCTCCACTGATCTTGGCTCCTATTTATTGCCTCATGTTTCTGTGTATCTAAACTTCTCTACATTAGATATTGACTTATTTTTTTACTGTATCAAAAGAGCTTGATTCATAAATTTTAACTGTTTATATATCTTAGCAAATTTTAGGTTGCTGCATGGGATGCAAACTTGGTGACTCCACATAAACGTATGGGGAATGCAGGCATCAATCTGGAATCTCTTTGTGATGGTGAGGACTGGTTATAACTTCTTAGTTTATACCTTTTGGAAGTGAAGTATTATTACATTGTCTGACTGACTTCCATTAGTTTATTATGTCTTGAGATTTCGGTATTATTTTGGAGAAGGGTAATGAAACTTCTGGAAGAAAATCACTCCCTGCACCTCCCAAGAAAGAAAGTAAGAAAATCACTCCCTGCACCTCCCAAGAAAGAAAGTTAACTGCAATAACCTTGACTATGTTATGTATCTTGCTTCTATTCACGTCGAGAGATAAACAAAATGGTTCTAGAAGCGCATAAAAAAATGCTCACCCTATAGAGGGCTGGCTCAATGTGTCATACAAAACACGCTCCAAAAAGATACTTGGCCTACTTGACTACCATCCTCTTCCCTAAATACAAGGCATAACTAACTTGTCAGGGAGTGTTTCCCTTCTTATCCCTTCTTGAATAAATATTCGTAACTGCTCGTTCTAATATCTGACCCTTTGTCTTCGTGCCATTCTTGATAATTATTGAGGTGTTTTTTTTTTAGTAGAGTCCTGCATTGTAGAATTTAAAATGCCTTTTCCCAAAGATCACAGATCTTTTTTTCTCAATCGAAGTCTGATGGCCTCTATGTATTGAGTCAGTCTCTGACAATTAATTCCTTTAGAGAAGGCAATAAAACTTCTTTTGGTATCATGACATATGGACGTGTATATAGAGATGGAAACATAGAGTAGGTTGGAGGTCATGGAAATGAAGAGATAACTCGTCGAAAATGTCTTAGAAGACTTAACGTGAAAATTTCTAGTACTACGGGAATATGGAACAAAAGCATTTTACGATGGCGTGGGGTCCATAAAATATAATAATATATCTCGCGTGATTTGTCAAATTATAAATGGGAGGGGTATGTACTCCCATTGAACAATAGAACAAGAAATTTTCTATTGGCCATTCCCATGTATCAAAACTCAATGCTGTGATTGAGCCTGGTATGGGCGAGTAGGTGGGTGAGGGAGGTCCATTCCAAGGTCTTATTATCTTTGACGTTTTTACAAAAATTGAGATCATATAACGCAACCACAGATTTCCAAACCTCCTACATGAGAGAGAGGGATCTTCCACCCTAATCACCCCCAGGATCATTATCTAATCTAATGGAAAATGCTTATTTTCAATTCTACTTCAACGGTAATCCGTTCAATATATTAAGGTTAAGCTTCATTGTTGCAAAGACATAAGTGAGAGCTAGAGAGACAGCAAAAAAAAACAAAAGAAATCGCCTCCATATTGTTGTTTGTGGTTTAAGAAAAAAGAAAAAACTTGTCAAACTAGTAACAAGTATGTGTTTTGCAAGGAAATTTGCATGATGTATCAGTGGAGTTAGAAGGAATGGGTGGAGGTGGAAAGTTGCAGCTGGAGGTAAGTTACACCAGCATTTTGTGGCAACTAAATATTGCATTATCTTCGTGTTTTCTCCCAGTGCTAATGATTTACTGCTGGTTTGTACTAACTGCTTTGTGTTTAGGAGCTTAACTATATTCGTGTCTGATTTTTATAAATTTGTAACTCAAAAGGTGTTTTTTTCCTTTCTTTTTTCTTTTAGCGTTTTTGATCTGGTAGGATAAAGCTCAAAATAGAAGCTTTTGAAGGTTATTGTTTCTTGTTGGAAAATTAAGTCTTGCTTTCTCAAAACTTGTTTGTCTTGACGTGATTGATATTTGTTTATTAATTGTGTCTCTCAGATCAAGTATAGGACTTTTGATGAAATTGAAGATGACAAACGATGGTGGAGAGTCCCCTTCATTTCTGAATTTCTTCGCAATAAAAATTTTGCATCTGCTCTAAATAAGCTTGTTGGATCTGACACTGTGCCAGTACGTCAGTTTGTAGAATATGCTTTTGGGAAGTTAAAGTCATTCAATGATGAATACCCATCAAGTGATCATTTATTGAGCAAGCCAAAAGACAAAGATGATACACCTTCACAGTTGCAGAATAATGAAGAAGTCTCTATAACTGATATAAGCTCTGTCAAAGAGAGCAATTCAGATGAGGTTGCAGCAAGTGATAATAGAGTGGAAAATGGACAATCCCTGAAAGAAGTGACACAAAGTATTTTAGCAAAGCAATTCGATAAACAATTTTGGACAAACTTGGCTGATGTAACAAATCAAAATATTGTCAAGAAACTTGGTCTTCCTGCCCCTGAGAAATTAAAGTGGGATGGATTTGAGTTGCTAAATAAAATTGGTTTGGAGGCACGAAAGAGTGCTGAAGCAGGTTATATTGAATCAGGGCTTGCATCTCCCAAAAGTTTGGATATTGATCAGGAACAAAAGAACATTAGAATGGCGGAGTCGACATTAACTGATGTGAAGAAAGTTAAGAAAGATCTATTAAGTCAAACTGAGTCTGTTTTGGGAGCATTGATGGTTCTGACAGCGACAGTTTCTCAATTGAACAAGGAAGCACAGCTTATAGGAAAGAAAGAAACCAAAGATGGGATCTCAAAAAAAGTGGGAGAGACGCTTGGTAGTTCAGGGGACGGATCATTGTTGGATAATAGGAATTCTGAGGAAATGAAAGCACTTTTTGCAACTGCAGAAAGTGCCATGGAAGCTTGGGCAATGCTTGCTACATCACTTGGCCATCCTAGTTTCATAAAATCAGAATTTGAGAAGTTATGTTTCTTAGATAACGAGTCTACGGACACACAGGTAAAGAATTTGGTTTTCAAAATGGCTCTAACATTTCTAAAGTTGTCCCTAATTTTAGTCATTCAATGATGGAGCATTAGCAAAATTTGCCCAATTTTATGGTTTTCATTCCTAACTGTAGGAGTCTACAGGTTGCAATTTGGCGAGATTTTATGCGGAGAAGACTAGTTGTTTCCTTCAGGGGCACAGAACAAGTAGGTTATTCTGTTGATGTTCGGTCCACTGGAGTATAACATTCCATGTATAAGTTCTTACTTTCTGAATTCTCCAGTCAAGATGGAAGGACCTACGAACAGACCTGATGCTAGTCCCTGCAGGGTACTTACTTTTCTTTTCCTGAAGTACCATCCTTTATCCATTTCTTTGCATTTATTCATCGTTCTCCTTGTTTTTATGGAATCATATGGAGAATAAAAGAGAACGTTGTACATGGGATAAACCCCTCTATTGAAAACCCATAGACTGTCAAAACTGTGGTAGTGCAGTGTATCCGTAGTCAGTAACTTTAAACTAAGGTGAAGGTGAACCATTTAATTTTACCTGGAATAACTTTTGTGCATTTGAAATCATTAATATATCTTTTCCAACAAGAACACATGAAGCCAAATTACCTCCAACAAGAACACAACAATTTCTAGAAGTTGATCTTCTATTTTTTCTTTAAGGTCCTCTGGCATTTGAACCCGATTAGAAGAGTATATCCTTTTTCCATTCCATGGTTGGTATAGTTAGAACACAACTTGACATATAGTATTTTGCAAGCAAGGACCAACAAACGGTAAATGAGTGAGTATATGCATCCTTGAAGCCTTTTAAACTTGTGTGAATAAAACGCTGTTTTATTATTCTTTAATATCAGCTTCAGTTTTTAGATTTTTATCGTCATCTATTTTCTAATTTTTATTCTGGTTTAGGTTAAATCCTGAAAGGATAAGTGGAGATTTCAACAAGGAAGTTCAAGTAAGTAATAAGTAATATTGTTATTTTATTGAGGATGTGTATTTTTCTGAACTCCATGCATAACCAGTCTTCATTTAGTGTTTAATGATGAAGATGTGATTATTTTCAGGTTCACAGTGGGTTCTTAAGTGCGTATGATTCAGTGCGAGTGAGGATTATTTCCCTCATTAAAAAGGCCATTAATTATAAGTAAGTCTGCTACATATCAATTTTGATAATGATAATGTCTTCATCGTGTCTTAGAATCTCTGCATTAGAATTTTTCCATGGAGAATGGTTGTCTATATTTTCATGTTTAGTTGCCCTTTGTTAAATTATATTTTTTATTTTTTAAATTTCCTATCGTATTTAGGTTAGGATTTCCTTGTTCTAATAGGTAAGTGTTTCCTTATCCTAATTGGCAAGAATTTCATTTTCTTTCCTTCTTTGTAGTTGCTATTTATAGCCTTGTATCAATTCTTTAAAAGTAAGAATTATTTTTTCTTATCAATTAACATAGTATCGGAGGCTCGAGGCTTTTTTTGGTTGACCTTCGTTGTCGATCGATTTCTTGCTAACTTTGGGATCAATAGATTGTTTCTTCTTGTTCATGGATTTCTTCCACCACTGCCTATTCACCCGCCGGCGCTGCTGTTTAGACGTCACCACTGCTACTATTTAAACGCTGCCGCCACCATTGTTCAAACGCCACTGCCACAGTGTTCGAAGTATGCATCGCCGCCCGCAGTTGTTCGATTGTCGCTATTCAACACTGAGGCCATTGATTTCGTGTTCGCCGTCAGTTGTTCAGTCGTGGGAGTCACCGTCAGAAGTGCCGCCGTCGTTAGCCATTCGTGTGGCTGTCGTTGGATTCTTCGTTCCAAAAGTAATATCCCTCATCATTGCAGTCTTCGTCGACTTTGGGAAAGCTTGGAAAGCTTTTTTGTTTCGCGTGGCTGCTAGGGTTTCTGAAGTGAAATCTAGATAATTGTTGGTTTGGTTCATAATTTTTGGTTCCGATCGGTTCACTTTTGGCCGGGTTCATTTTCCAGCCCGGTTCAATATAATTTGGTTCGGTTCAGCTTCTTTTTGGTTTAGTTTTATTTTGTTTCGCCGGTTCTGTTCAACTCAATTTATTTCAAGTTATTTTTTAGCTTTCTCTAATCAACGACGGACTCCACCAAAACTCCCAAAAAACTATTGTAGAGACTAAGGTTGGAGAGAATCCAATGTGATGTATTCTCATTATTAAAGTCTATATATATATAGACAAATATACAAGGTTGACCTAATCCTATAAGGAGAAGGTAAATGACAAATTAATATTAATACAAGAATATAAAATATACTAATATATACTCTAACACTCCCCCTCAAGTTGCTGCATATATGTTAATCATGCCCAACTTGTTAGACAAATAATCTATTCGTGCTCCATTCAATGCTTTAGTAAAGATATCTCCTAGCTGATCTCCAGTCTTCACATACCCTGTACCATCAATCCTTGCTGTATTTTCTCACGTACATATGACAATCAACTTCAATGTGTTTGGTTCGTTTATGAAATACTGGATTAGATGCGATATGAAGAGCTGCTTGATTATCACACCAAAGTTTCATTGGAGTGGTGATGCCAAATCCCAATTTAGTCAGAAGCTGATGTATCCATACTAATTCACACACCGACTGTGTCATAGCTCTATATTCTGATTCAGCACTCGAACGCGACACCACGTTTTGTTTCTTACTTTTCCAAGAAACTAAATTACCTCCGACAAATACACAATATCTCGAGGTTGATCTTCTATCTTCCTTAGAACCTGCCCAATTAGCATCTGAAAAACATTCAATATTAAGATGACCATGATTTTTATATAACAAGCCACGTCCAGGAGCACCTTTCAAATAACATAGAATATGTTCCAATGGGATCCAATGGTCAGTCGTAGGAGAACTCATAAACTGACTCATAATACTGACTGGATAAGCTATGTCTGGCCTCGTAACTGTAAGATAATTCAGCTTGCCTACTAATCTCCTATACTTCTCAGGATCTTTCAATAACTCCCCTTACTTTGTAAGTTGTAAATTAGGTATCATTGGGGTACTAAGCGACTTAGCAGCTAACTTTCCTGTTTCAATTAACAAGTCAAGTACATACTTTCTTTGTGACAAAAGGATCCCTTTCTTGCTCCTTGTTACTTCAATTCCTAAGAAATATTTCAACATTCCCAAATCTTTAGTATGAAATTGACTATGAAGAAAAGACTTGAGTGATAGTATGCCTGATGAATCATTACCAATAATCACAATATCATCAACATGTACAACTAGTAAGATAACACCAGACTCAGATATTTTATAAAAAACAGAATGATCTGACTTACTCTTCTTCATTCCAAAATTCTCAATCACCTGACTGAATTTTCCAAACCATGTTCGCGGACTTTGTTTCAACCTATATAAGGATTTACGAAGGCGACATACCTTTCCATTCTCCCCCTGAGCAACAAAACCTGGTGGTTGATCTATATAAACTTCTTCTCGAAGATCACCATGGAGGAATGCATTTTTAATATCAAGCTGATGCAAGGGACAGTGGTGAATAGATGCCAATGAAATGAATAACCTGACAGAAGCCAATTTAGGAACCAGAGAAAAAGTATCAGAATAATCAATTCCGTAAGTCTGCGCATATCCTTTAGCAACAAGGCGAGCTTTCAAACGGGCAATTGATCCATCCGGATGAACTTTAACAGCAAACACCCATTTACAATCGATAGGTTTCTTTCCTGAAGGAGAGACACTAAATCCCAAGTACCATTGTCATCTAAGGTAGGCATCTCCTCCAACATAGAAGCCCGCCAACCAGGATGAGACAAAGCTTCATGAACAGTTTTAGGAATAGATACAGATTTAAGGGATGCAATAAACGAACAAGTAGATGATGATAAATTGTTATATGAAACAAAAGAAGAAACAGGATGAGTACACTTACGCTTACCTTTTCGAAGGGCAATAGGAAGGTCATCACTCGTTCCTGGATCCACAGGCAAAAAAGCTGCTGGTATAGGGCATGAGTCCGTAGGAGGTTGCCGATGAGAATAAACTTGAGTAATAGTGCGGAGAGAAGGATCAGGCGCAGAGGAAGATGTATTGCTAGGAAGTTCTTCAGTAGAAGTAGAGACAATAGAATAGACAAGAAAGGTATCATCTTCATGGGACTGCTCGCTCTGACTGGTACTCAAGGACGATGAAAAAGGAGTATTTTCAAAGAACATAACGTCAGGAGAGACAAGATATCTATTGAGATCAGGACAATAACATCGATACCCTTTTTGAACACGAGAGTAACCAAGGAAAATGCATTTCAATGACGTAGGGTCTAATTTGGTGAGCTGGAGGCGAACATCCCGAACGAAACAAGTGCAACCAAATATTTTAGGTTTAATAGGAAATAAGGTTGCGTAGGCACAAAGTACGATAAGGTATTCCACCCTTAAGAATTGACGAAGGCATGCAATTAATCAAGAAGTAAGTCGTCGAAACAGCATCAGCCCAAAAGTATTTTGGAACATGCATTTGAAACATTAAGGCCCTTGCTGTTTCGAGAATATGTCTATTTTTCCTTTCTGCAACTCCATTTTAAGACGGAGTATCAACACACGAGGATTGATGAATAATACCATGTTCACTTAAATAGGAGCTAAGAGCACCAGAAAAATATTCCTTAGCATTATCAATCTGTAGAACTTTAAGAGAGCCACCAAATTGAGTTCGAATTTCAGGATGAAAGTTACGAAAATGAGAAAGCAACTCAATGAGAAAGTAACTCAGAACGATGTTTCATCAAATATAACCAAGTTACACGAGAGAAATCATCGACAAAAGTAACAAAATACCGAAATCCATTTTTGGACTCAATAAGACAAGGACCCCAAACATCAGAATGGATTAATTCAAAAAGAGCATTAGCTCGTGTATTGACTCTAGGATAGGAACTGAGACGATGAAACTTAGCAAATTGACATGACTTACAATCTAAAGAATGCAGACTATGAAATGAGGACGGAGACTTTTTAACACGGAGAGAGATGGATGACCCAAACGACAATGTTCTTCGAAGGGAGTTGGCACTCGAGTGCAAACGGTGGCTGTAGGTATTTGTGTATCAAACGTGTAGAGGCCATTAGATTCACGCCCT